CTAATGTTAAGAGTGGTGTTTTGTAGCTTGCAGGAACCTGGTAAATGTCTGTTTCTCAAGGTAAGACTCTGATCACAATCACCTTCCACTTATGTTTCTATTCTGCTTGCAGCAGTTTTCTTAGTTTTGTGAAGAGAGTACAACTGCATATTTTTTTTCTATTTTGATAGCCCGCAAAGTGCTTTTGTTTTTTTTTTCAAATGTATTATTTTTTATCAGACAGAGTTCACAGCTATCCTAACATAACTGCAAGTAACATGTGAGTGTTTCCCATAATCAGCCTTACAACATAAATCTTGCAATACTAGGTAACTCTAATGTCTCCCTGAAACACGTTGCCATTGAACATTTCTCACCAGTTTGATGGGATCTTAATTTAAAATAAAAGTATTTTACATAAATGATAATATGAGTGACCCGGAACATTTATGTAAAACACTCTTCCTATCAGACAGACAGTTTTCTTTGGAATTTGATATGGGTAGCTCCATTTAGGATTTCTTTCATTACTTATCTTTTTTAGCCATGCTAGACTCATGGCTTTTGAAGCGAAACTATCATTTAGTCTATGTTTAGTCAGTTGATTAAATTATTTTGAGATTGATCAGATTAACATGAAGTATAATACATATATTGAAGTTTCCAACTTTATCTATCTCATCCAATTTGGCAATCCCTTTCTTCTTTTATGGTTGTTGTTTTTTTTTTTTTTTTGTACCTTTGCTCAATTGCACTGGCAGATTGCCCCCCTTCTCTAAGCTCTTCCCTAAAGCCCCAAGGCATAAATTGAGTGGAAATTTTCTTTTAGACAGCAGGGTAATGTAGGTCAGGTGAACATGTGTGTGTGTGTGTGTGTGTGTGTGTGTGTGTGTGTGTGTGTGTGTGTGTGTGTGTGTGTGTGTGTGTGTGTGTGTGTGTGTTATGTAATAGATCTCCTGCAAGCTAACAGTTCAGGGATTTGACAGTTCTTGGCTGAGTTCCAGTCACTCACATTCATGTAGTTACATCTTCTTACCTCTCAGGCCCCAAACCCCAAACATCACCACCATTATAATTGTCTCTTTGTTGCACAAACACTTCATCATTCCACTAACCGTTCTTCTAAAAGAAAAAAAAGAAGAAGAAAACAAACAAGGAAAGCTACACAAAGATTGCTTTACAAAGGAATAGATTTACGGTTACACAAGCTTAAAATGGAACAGAGTTTTGGGGTCTGGCTCTTTTTTAAATTATGTCATTATGTAATATACATTTATAATTATTTATGAATCATTACTGTAGCTTGCCCTTGACAATAATACTTTACAAAAAAGTGCACTTTTTTTTATTTTGGATTTTCTCTAATCATTGCAAGGTCAAAGCGATCAAAAGCATAGATACAGTACAGGCTCAAATATACATACACTCCAAATAATTGTTGGTTAAATGTCCCTTAGCAGGTTTAATCTTAACCAGGCACTTTTGGTAGCCATCAACAAGCTTCTGGCATAATTGTACCTGGATATTTGACCACTGTGTAAATTGGTTCCTGCTCTAAAACCGTCCAATATGGCTGATTTAAAACAATTCTCCAAAGAAGAGTGAGCCAAAATTACTGTGTACGCAAATGCTTTCCTGCTGCCAAGTGTTATTAGGTTTTTTCACACTGGCCCACATGGGTCTGGATGCATTTTCCCCTTAATCAATGCACTGTACAAACTCAACATACAGTAAAAAAGATCCTGACGTCCTTGTTTTTTCCATAAATCCAGCATTTTGTACCATAAAATAAATAAATCTTGCAATTTACCATATTCTTGTTGTTATTGTCTGTATTATCTTTCTATTTTGTCAAGAAGAATACGTGTACACATACTTGGCCAATAAAGCTGATTCTGATTAGCCTCACCACCATCATCCCACACACACAAAATGACACACTGACTCAAGCCAGGACTTGAGCTATGATAAACATCAAACCACAGTAACTGCTTTGTATCCATCAAGTCATGCAGGTGAGGGGTTTCACCGATCAAAACAAAAGCTGAGGGCAGGAGACCCAGTGTCATCTTGGTAATACAGAATGGCTGATAATAAGTGCTAGAGCATGACATTGATAGATTTAAGTTCATGAATACGTTTTAAGATTTGCAAATGACATTTTAATTACAGCTTATTCCTTAATAGAGTTTTAGTTTACCATGTATTTGCCACATATTTGCCATCTTTTGTTTCTTATCAAATTCTAGTTGCCATTACTGAAAAAAAAATAAACAAAACAAAGAAAAAAAAACCTTCTTGAACCATCCAGTATTACCCTTTGATTTGGTAATAGTGTTGGTTTGTGCAAATCACTGCAATCTAGTTTCAAAATTTCACAAAATGCTTCTACTTAACAGATAAATAAAAGCGACATTTTAGCTGTTGTTTAATAGCGAACAAGATGTTCAAAAATGCCATGGGCGAAATGTAAAGTTGTCATCTTTACATTTCGGGCCGGTTTATGTCCGACAATATTTTCATGGACTGGCCTTTAAGGTGTCACGGATAAATACAACAAAATAAAACCAGTACCAAAAAAAGAAGATTTATTCATAACACACAGGAAAAGACCCAGGGAAACAGAGTTAACGCTAAAAATGATTTAAAAAAAATAGCGCTAAAAATCGATAAAATCCCCCTGAAAACCATCAATTTCACACCTGAGCCTCAACTCTCACGGCCCGGTACCAAAAGACTCAGGGACTGGTACTGGTCCATGACCTGGGGGTTGGGGACTGCAGGTCTAACTAATATGTGCATAAGTAGTCAGCATATGTTAACAATTTGTTTTCTCGCTTTTTATCTGTTGCTCCTGTTCGTGTATTCGATCATACATTATAGAAAAAGCAGGAATCTATATCCTGGAAACACAGAAAAACTAGCAGAAGCATTAAATGAGGTTAGCATACTTTACTAGCATGGTATATTTTAACCTAACCAAACAGCACATGAAAAATTATTTGTCAACAACATTCTAACAACGCTTGGCCTGATGGACGTTTTAAAGACACCTTCAATACCCAACTTGAATTGTAAGAAAATCAGTTCTCCTCAAAACCTAACCCTAGGAAGGCAGTTTATTTGCAACAGAAGATGAGGACTGTAAGTGAGTGCTTTAAAAGTTTCAATGTAAATGTGAAAAGTTCATTTCACAACAGACAAGCAATACAAATCTTTCTGATATACCCTGTGAAGAACTGTGCTTTGGCATTTATTGAATCTATAAATCCTGCTGTATTTATCCAGTGTTCATGCAGTAATTGTATAAGTGCTGCAATGTGTTTTTATAGTATGCGGAATTTGAAGCATGTGAAAGCCAGCTGTACATCTTTTAAGTCATGAGTGGAGGCAGGGATTACTTCACAGCACATTTTTCTTCAGTGGTAGCACATTCTTTTCTATCCCCAGCATGTGCTTTTGTTTCATAATAGACTCTCAAATGAAAACACAATTTGCTTTGTGGTGTTGATTTTAAGTGTGAGTATGGAAAGCATATGGCGCCACTGAAAGCCACTGTTCTCCCGCTCTTGTTTGTTTGGTCACATCCGCAATGAGGAATTCACAGATGGGACTTGTCGTTCAGAGTGACTAGCTTCTACATCTGCTGGTGAAGGGAATTTACATGCAGGAGAGCAAAACTATAAAAGAGCATCTTTTAGAAGTGGGCCACAGCTGAGTAGCTGGTGGAGAAAATTGCCACCGTCAAGCTGTCTGCTAACAAGACAGAAATCTGCATCTGAGGTGTTTAGCTGATGGTCTTATCTAGGGAGACTCTCAGGCAGGAGCTCAGTGTCTAGCTCAGTCATTTCATAGCATGTATTGGACAGACTGGCTGGTGTAAGAGTTTGAACTTGTAACCTCTTACATCCAGGGTGCTGATATGATGGAGAGACTCTGTTGTCATCTGCAAAATTATTTAAAATATATTTAATATAAATAGTCAGTAAAGAGTCCTTTTTTATTTCATCATGCTGGTCAAAAGTTTTGAAACAAAGAAGATGAAATTACCCAATCATTTCCATGTCTGCATTACAATCAAAACATAGATGTAATCATTTCTGACTGTCCTCAAACTAGCCCACACCCACCATAGACGAACACCACCAGCTCTTTGAAATGTCAGCTTCAAAGCTGATCTTTGTCCACCCTCTCTCCACACAGACAGCAGTGGTGGAGGGGCGCCTCCAACCAGATGTTGGCTAGGTCTAATGCCTGAGGTCAGAGGTTGTAGGCTGATACTGAGGGTCAGGGAGGTTTTGTCGGTAAGGAACGTATCAGCTGGAGACAAACAGACCGTGTCCTTCTCGGACCTTTCATGGTTTGAATTACTGCTGTCATGGTCCGGGCCTGGTAATTGAATTATGCCAACACTAATAAACATCAGGTGATTGATATTTTAAGGAGGTAATTTGTTGCCTGGTAATATTTCACTGATTGTGTTACGATTATGTGAGTGCATGAGTTAATGTCATTCTTATATATATCTTCTAAGGGATATCTCATAACATTAGGGCATTTTAGATGTTATCACGTACAATCTCTGTGACCATCACAGTCAACAAAAAAATATGACATTTCTATCCTTCTGTACTTGTGCATTTTAAAGTCTTTACACTATATATGAAAATGTATATTCCTTACCCTTTACCCAAAATACTGAGTTAAAGAGATAAGCTTTGGCTCCAAGTTACCTTTGGCATTAACTGCTTTTAAAACTATTTGTTCTCTCTGCGTTAGCTCAGTATTGGCAAATTGTATTTTGCAAAATGTAATATTGTATTAGAAAAGATTTTAAAGGAGACAAATAAAAACAAAAATAGCAACAAATTCTGACCAGTCACCACTTTTATAATATGAAAATGTTTGGTGTGTGGGAGAACTCATTTAGTCCTAGCTGCTATAAAAACACGCATAAGGTGAGCACATCCAGTAAATGCAATCCATTCAACTCAACACAGATCAGGTTATGGTGAAAACAGGAAGTTACAAACATGTAATGAGTCATGTTGATTACTGGCTCTGTGCCGTAATGAGCCAATCCGCAGTTTAATGCACTGTTAGTGACCATTGTTTTAATTGTTTTGGTCAGTAAGAACTGCGGGAGAGAAGTGTTCAGAAGCTGGCTAAGGACAAAAACCTAAAGAGTTTAAATATACGGTACCAAAGTGTTATTGTGTCAAAATGTATAAACCATGCATGATGAAGAGACAGTTATGTGGTTGTGAAAGAGTAAATCAGATCTTAATCGTGTAAAGTTTACTCATTCATCACAAATAAAAGACAACAATTTCACAATGTGTTAGTTCATCTCTTCACATTTTCAAAGGACGTCCATATATGACTCACTGGGTGTCCATTGGAACACCCACTTTAACCCACACAGTGGTATTAGAAGTCTTTGGTAAGTAATACACAATGACCTGGGAGATTAAGTTTTCTGATACACACAAAAAATAATAATAATAAGTTTAGAGGCCTATTCCTGTACGTTCAGCATACATGCTTTGGGATGACAGTGACAGAGAAAAACCTGTTTGACATTCCAAGCGAAGGGCAGTAGAACTGAGAAGGACTAAGCTAGTGGAAATTTACTACAGTTTTGTTGTTGTCAGAGTTTGGAGTTGTTAGAGGAGGGGCGCTGGAAGATTATGGGGCAAACAAGAATCAGGGTGGGTTTTACTTTCTGTGAAATCTTTGGTATGACTTGCAGCTCTTCCCTGACTCATGTTGCTCAGGGCTTGTAGATATTATTGGTGTGTATGTTTGTACATGTATGTGCGTACGTGTGTTTGTGGGCACATGTGTCTGTGAAGAGCTTTGAGTGTGTTTTGTCAGTCTGTCAGTTTAAATTTCACAAAATACAAAGCTGATTTGCAGGAAACTTGGTAAGAAGTTGTAAAGGCCATTACCCACTACGCCATTACCCACACAAAATTCTGAAACTTTCGGTTGCAAACTTGTTGAGTAACGTACATACACACCAAAAGCATTGCATTTTTACAAAAAGTGTCCTAAAAAACACACTGTGAGCAAAATGAAGTCGACATCAAGCAATGAAGAGCTGGTCCTGAGGTTTCTAAACAATGAAAAGTAAGAAACTGGGATTCTGAGGTCATCCAGTTCTCACAAAAAGGCCGGAGCATTTCATGGTTTGATCCAGAAGTTGAATCTGTATCACGGCTACTTTCATAATTATTTCAGATGTCAGTGGGGCAGTTAAAGCTCCTGTTGGCAGAGTTGAGACCACATCTGACAAGGCAGAGAAATCCTTTCAGATAGCCGATGGACCAGCAGCATCTAGCCGTGCATCTGAGGTAAAATGTTATTTTCACTATTATTATTCAGTACTGGTGCTGTTTTCAGCTATAATCAGATTTGTTGAAAAATGCAGTGGTCTGATTGACCAGATCTGTGTATTTGAAATGGAAAATATTGATAAAAAAATAATGCCAGAAATGTATCCAGCAAAATTACGTGGTCGGTGTGAATGGCTGCATTAAGAACTGAGTCCTTTGGATAAAACTGCAAGGTATATTTGTGTGTGTGTGTGTTTTGTACTTTTGCCTCCCTTTACAAAGTGATAGATGCGAGTTTAGATTTTTCAAATTGTGAGTGGCATGCAAAGTCACACAGATCTCAACTACAAGGCTGAGAATCCATTTACTTTGCAGTTTACACTAGATAATACTCCATAAACTCTCATAAGAATAGCTAAACCTCTTGTAGTCATCATAATCAAAAGCCAATGCTCACTCCATCCATCTTAGAACTCCATTCAAGCTAACAACATTACTATTCATCATCAGTATTCACACCTGTCCAAATCCATAACCTCATTGCCTGGAGGGAAGAAAGAAAGGGGAAAAAAAGTCATCTCCATCTCACTGAGAAAGGAAGAAACCAATTCCCCTCTGCCTGCATCTCTTACATGCATTTGTCATACGTCAACCAGACAAGTGAACTCCCTCCTCTCCTTGCACGCAGCTCCTCTCTGACCCAGCTAGCTTTGTCCTGACTCATAAAGAGCGCTAAATGAAAACCATCCAACCCCCCTCCCCTTTTGTCACTCTTGTCTCTCTGCAACTGAAACTCATTTCCTCTACACAGTGTATCAGAGGGGGAAAAAAAAATACAATATCGAAGACAAAGTTGGCCTGACTGCACCCCTCTGAGTAGCTAAGAAAAATAGTGTACGTTTCTCAAGGAATTCCCTGAATGTGGGAGTGGGCCTGCAGATGTTGGAGAACTGTCACCCCTTAAAACAACCCACTCCCCGATGTTGTCCTCCACCCATCCCACATTTCTCATTTGCTTCAGAGCTTTGGATTGTGAGTTCACAAACACATGCATGAATGCATACACGAACAAGACATACATGCAGACATCACTACATACAGACCACTAGTCCACCATACATTCAATCTCAGACTGTATATATGTGTTTAGATGAAATGTGCATTCTCTTTACTTTCTTTTTACCATACCACAGTCAAATACATGTACGCATATACACTCAAGTACACAAATACACAGTGTATCCTTCCGCTTGTCTACACAAGTGTAAACACACACAAAGTACTTGGACAACTAGTGCCTGGACCCTCTGTTTTTCCATTACGGAGCCTGGCAGTAGAACGGTTCAGCACTAGCAGAAACATTAGCAGCAGTGGGAGATGGAACTGATGGCTGAGCTCATAAAAGGGTACAGAGGACATGAGACAAGTTTGTGCTGATGCCCTAAACAAACAAACAATAAAAAAATAAAATTGTTCTTATGGTCATAGATGGTAAATGGACTGGTTCTTATATAGCGCTTTTCTACTCTATCTGAGCACTCAAAGCGCTTTATACAACTAATTCATTTACCCAATGCAGCCACAGCCAGGGTGGCTGTGGCTACAATGTAGCTTGCCATCACCAGTGTGTGAATGTGTGTGTGAATGGGTGGATGACTGGATATGTAAAGCGCTTTGGGGTCCTTAGGGACTAGTAAAGCGCTATATAAATACAGGCCATTTACCATTTACCAGGCCAATCACACCCATTCACACAAGCACTTTTTCTAAACTGTTAAATGCTTACTGTCTAACATTTATACACATTCACACTCCGATGGATGCATTGCAAAGGTGCATAAGAGGATACTCTCGAAACAAAAGTTTAAATTATATAAATATAATTTATAAACTCAGGAGCTATATGATCACACCTAAAAGGACATTTGTTATATTTAACATGTTCAAAATTCATGCTAATGAGGTCAAACTAACGCCACGATAATTAAATATTAAATGCCAAGACATATAAAAATAAATAAATAAAAATAAAAATCATAAGACATGAAATAACTTTAAAAAAAATGTCTATTTGTACCAAAACTTTACCTATTTCTGCCTATTTTGTTTTCTATTTTGCTTGTTTCTTTTGATTATTATAGTTTGATGTCAGAATCAGAATCAGAAAGGGGTTTATTGCCAAATGTTGAGCAGGTTTACAACATTAGGAAATTGCTGCGGTGCTTCAGTGCAAACATAGTGTCATAAATAGCACTTAAATAGACATGAAAAAATAAAAGTAGGGATAAGAATTAAAAGTGCTACGTAGAAAGATATGTGCATGAGCTATACATGAGATATATACATGAGAATAAGAATTAAGAATGCTACGTAGAAAGATATATACATGAGTGCAGGTGGTGATCAGTGCCAAACATGGAATGATGCAGTGAACACAGCGTAGGGTCATGTGTTAGTAGCGGGAACAGTCATATGGTTATTGTTCATGTGTCCAACAGCAGAGGGGAAGAAACTGTTCTTATGGCGAGAGGTTCTGGTGCGAATGGACCGGAGCCTCCTGCCTGAGGGGAGCAGGTCAAACAGACTGTGTCCAGGGTGAGAAGGGTCAGCTGAGATCCGAGCTGCGCGCCCCAGTGTCCTGGAGGTGTACAGGTCCTGCAAAGATGGGAGTCTGCAGCCAATCACCTTCTCAGCAGAGCGCACAACACGCTGCAGTCTCTGTTTGTCCCTGATAGTGGCTCCAGCGTACCACACGGTGATGGAGGAGGTGAGGATGGACTCGATGATTGCAGTGTAGAATTGCATCATCGTCCGTGTTGGCAGGTTGAATTTCTTCAGCTGCCTCAGGAAGTACATCCTCTGCTGGGCTTTCTTAATGACGGAGGTGATGGTGGGCTCCCACTTCAGGTCCTGGGTGATGGTGGTACCCAGGAAGCGGAATGAGTCCACACAGGTGATGGGGGTGTCAGTCAGGATGATGGGGGGGAGTGGGGCTGTGTGCTTCCTGAAGTCCACAATAATCTCCACTGTCTTTTGGGCATTCAGCACCAGGTTGTTGTGGCTGCACCAGGACACCAGACGTTCAACCTCCCTCCTGTAGGCAGACTCATCCCCGTCCGAGATGAGTCCAATAACGGTGGTGTCATCTGCAAACTTGATTAGCTTGACAGACTGGTGGGTGGAGGTGCAGCAGTTGGTGTACAGGGAGAAGAGCAGAGGAGAAAGAACACAGCCCTGAGGGGAGCCGGTGCTGATGGTCCGGGAGTCCGAGACATTCTTCCCCAGCCTCACATGCTGCTTCCTGTCCGTCAGGAAGTCAGTGATCCACCGGCAGATGGGATCAGGCACATTCATCTGCACATGTCTTTTCATACTTAAAAAAACAATGTGCCTCTAAAACAGATCCCAATTTCTTCTAGTTTAGGGTTTTTAATTCAGCTCCATGAAGCTGTTCAGTCATGGATAGTGTAAAATCACTATTTTATGAGGGAAGTTACAATGTGGAGCCTCAGCTTTATTGTGTTAAGTGGTGTATATGGCATCATTTCAGTCCTTTTCAGCGAATTAAATTCCAGTAGGGCATGCAACAGTGAGCTAGGGTTTCAAGAGGTTTTTGCATAGAGCAGTTAAGTGTAGCACAATTGAATCCAATTAGAAGGCATTTCTCTGCAGGTAATCAGTGCTTC